GAGGGTGCTGACGACCAGCCAGCACCTCCCAAGCCAAAGGTTCGAATGACCCCCCCACAAGAAGACACCCGCAAAGACCAGAGCGGGCAGAAAGAAGGCATCCCCCCAAAAAGAAGGCATCCCCAAAAAAGAAGGCATCCCCAAAAAAGAAGGCATCCCCCAAAGCGAAGAAGGCATCCAGAAAGAAGAGATCCCCCCCAGGCAAAGGCACATGCCTCGGATTCCCCCACGATGGCACCCCAGGTTGAAGAGCCTTCCGTGCCTGCTGGATCATCGGGGAACGTTGTTAAACGGCTTCCGACCTCGAAGGTGAGTTCAGCTCTGGAGCAGGTGGTCAGCAGTGGTGTGTGTGAGTTGCAGCCTCCTTCCAACTTTGCTGGAAAGCTTCTTGGCATCTGACTTCAGGAATTATGAATTTGAACGTTAAAGCTGTATTTAAATGATCAGATGCATGACCCAGGGTCTACACAATTCCAGCTCCAGAAGGGTGCACAGAGGGTGCGAAGTCGATCAACGTTGTTCTCTACTCCTTTTCCTTCTATGTGCAAAAGGTCCTCAACGGGGATGGGCAACTTGAATCTTGGTTCATGTTATAGCAAAAAATGATCATGATCTTGTAAATCAACCTGACTCGTACAGTTTACACTCAGGTGGACCGCAAAGGGGGGCTGCACATTGAACTGGAGACCGCGTGGCGTTGAAACAACGCGGCTTGTTATTAATTATGGAATTCTTGCATTGAGTTGAACCCATTCACTGTGGAATTCTCAGGTGGCAGATTGCGATGGATATTGCTGGATGGAAGAAACCAGGACGAATGTGATATTCAGATGTACGTGCGATGTTTTTAAAGATGTGGCCTTTGCGCATTCATTTTGGGGCAGGCGTGTGTCGCAAACTCACTGACGAGTTTGAGCGGGTTGTCAGCGATGGAGAGTGATGCTTAGCATCCGGCTGGTGTTGTTCAAAGGGCCTTTGGGAACTTGGCCCAAGGTGGTCAGCGATGGCCACCCAAGAGTTTGAAATCGGTTGATCTTGGTTCACGATCAACTTTGCAGATTTATACGCTAGCGTTACAAACCAATTTGCTTCTCGCAGTCTTGGGTGCTGGGGTTGTGCAGTTCATGCAGAATGCCACACAAGTCTCAGAGTCTCAGTTGGATGTGCGTGTTTTCAACTCAAGTGTCTACATATATACGCATTAGTCAGGCATTGCTCGTAGGCATCAGGGCGCAGGCCATGCTTCGTCTTTCCAAACTCGCTATTATTACATTACTGGCCATAGGAGTGCCTCCCATTGTGTGCCGTGGCAGAAGCAGCTGCAGAGTGATCATGTTTTGATACAATTTTGGACTTTCATGCAATTTGTGTTGCAAGTTGTCTAGAATTCGAAGCTTGCTTGTCCTGTGAGGGTCCACTTGTGCGACTTCATCAATGAAGCCCCCACCAACCCATCTCAGCGAACTAGAGATCCTCAGCTGATCTATCATCATTTGTATCGTTGGAAATGCTGCTGCCCCATGCGCCCAGGATGTTCAATGTGTGGAGATATTCTCTGGAGTTGGCTGCATTGCTGGTTCATTCAGCTTCATGGCTAATTCTGGCGGATTCTTTAAAGTGGATGGATGTACTGCTCAAACGGACTCCATCGCATTGCAAGGACGAACTGGAGATAGAGCGTGTCTTGGAGACATCTGGAACGATCGTAGCAGGCATGTTGTGCGCAGGCATGTTGTGCATTCACCTGTTGTCTGGGGCAGTGTTCATGATGACGTCGTGAGCCCATGGCCATACTGCTCAGGATGCCATATGATGTGCACCGTGGAGGAAACTATCGCAAAGAGGAGGATCTCACCACCTTTGAGGGCTTTGCAACGGCTGTGTTGTATTGCCTCCGTGGTTCCCCTGGCTTTTTATTATGGGGAGGCATACCCTGTAATTCCTTCGGGTTCATGGCTCAATCTGGACATCAAAGGAGTGAGCAACAGCCATTCGGCAACAGGCTCCGGGCCTGGGTCCAACTTGGAAACACTCTTGCCTCCCGATTCTTCATTTTAGCGGCGCTCTCGGTGGCCAGAAAAGGCTTCTATGCTATTGAAAACCCTGGACAAAGCAGACTGATCTGGTTTCCGTACTACCGGATCCTTGCGCAGTACATCCCACACTTCAAAGGGAGGTGGTAGCTAGTCGGCAGTATCATGAGCTGATGTGTGTCCCTTTTGTTCGTCGGCCCTTGTACGATAAGTCCCGCACTTCAGAGGGAGGTGGTACGGTTCGATTGATGATCATGAGGTGGATGGGAAACTTTGGGCATTGGGCACCAAAGCCCTCGCTGAGCTTTGGTACCTGGCCTCGTAGCTGCACATGAGTTAAGATTCTGCAATCCAGCGGCCATGGCACCAAGTTCCGCTTCAGGCCACAGATTCGCCACTTACACAAAAGAGCCGGCCTTATGACGAAAGATTGCGCCTCAAGCTGATCAATGTTCAGGTGAATCTGGGTATCTCGATGGTAAAGAAAACCACACACAAGAAGACCAAGAAGAAGCAAGTGCTGCTTGTCTGAGTTTTGTGATCTCATGAGTACATGCGGCCGGCGCTTCGCCTTGATCAGTTGTTCGGATCTAGAGTTCGTTGAATAAGGACAGGATCACGATTCTTGAAAAGCTCGGCTGCATATCCACGGAGCTTTGGAGATTGGGTGAGATCAGAGCACTTCAAGGCGCTGTAGCGATGCATATACAGCTGTAAAGCATCTGTGATCTGGCTGAATACGTGGACAGGTCCCGGTTACAAAGCGTCCAGATCTGGACCTGCTCTTCAGGATTAACTCAACGATGCATGTGACTCAATTGCACCACGCAATGATTTCAAGCACACGTGCATTGAGTGGTGTACGATTTGTTGGGTTGCTCGAACTTAGTTGAGCGGCATTCCTTCTGAGCTTAACTGGTCAGAAGCGCGGCTTGATGATATTAAGGACAAAGTGTCATGTACCATGTTGCAATTAATTGCACGGTAAATGAGCGCTGTTGTTGGCAGGAATGCCTCGAAGGTGCCATTGGGGCCAACCTCTTCGTGCCAGATGCAGCTATACCGTTCAAGCTGAGTCCACTCAAGCCAAATGAGCTGCAAGAGCTGGCCAAGAGCTACAATCTTGGCTGAGCACACCTGTCTGGTGTGATTGGAAAATTCATTTTCGTGCTCGTTTGCGCTAAGTTGTGCAAGTGTGAGTCAGATGATGCAAGTTATGCAATGAACCTTTGAAAACATCATTGGAATTATGCGAACTATGCATCCAACCCAGCCAACCCATGATCTTTTACCATGGCCCAAGCGGATTTTGCAGGTCTCAGTGTCCAAAATCTAGCATTGAGCGGGGCTGGTGTCCCAAAACTAGGGTCCAGGGGGCGCGTTATTTGAGCGTTATTTAGCGTTACAAGTGGGTAATAGGACACTTCTGGGCGTTATTTTGCGTTATTTGGCGTTATTTGCCCCCCCCCCCCCCCCAACAGACCTGGCAGAGCCTGGTGGGCATTCCATGGCGAAGGCGAACCCAACTTCCAAGGCCCCAGCTATTTGGTGGCAGTTTAGGATTCTCCCACCTCAGATTTTGATTTATCATTTTCCTTCTGTGAGGCTATTGTGCGGAAGAGATCTGGCATTCCTATGGATGTATCTGCTGAAGTGGATGAAATTTTGAGGAGCCATGCTGGCTTAGGCGTGGGATGATGTGGACATGGATGAACAGGTATAATTTTTGATCTGGCAGGTGACACTGGGGGATCTATGGCACCAAGCCAAGCAGCACCCCGCACCCAACCAAAGGCCAGTACGATCTTGAAAGCACATGCCAAAGCACCTCAAGCAACTCCACAGGGGACCATGCCGTCTCCCAAGAAGGTGACAGCGCCACTGCAGTCACTGCGTCGGGGAACCCCTTTGAAAGATCAGGAGATGATTGTCTCGCCTGAGAAATCTACCACCAAGCGAGTCGAAAAGGCAACACCAATCCCAGCAGAGAAGGGTGTAGCAGGCCAAACCCCCATTAAAAGCCCGGTGATGAAGCGTGTGAAGCCAACAGATTCACATGTCCCACCCGGAGTGGCTGCTTGTAGGCAATATTGGTTGATCAGGTTCACATATATAGCTAGCTAGCTCCACTTCCGACGACAAATCCCAGGCTGAAGTGGACAAGAAGGACCAGATGCCGGCTATTCGCCCTGATTCACAAACAACATTGATCTTGGGTGAGGAATCCCAGGAAGAGCGGGAGGATGTACAGTCCGTTTCTCGCCTTTCACGATCCCTGAGCTGGAGCCGAGAAGAGATGTTGACCGACATGCTCTTTCAAGAGTTCCCAGACGAGGGTTTGATGATTGGTGACCAGGAACTGGCTGACTTCGTGAGAAGATATTTCATGTGCAAAAAACCAGACCCCGATTTCATTGCCATCGGGCAACTTCGAATAGATTATTCGTTGAAATTGCCTGCATGTTTCACGCTAGTAGTTTAGCACGCCAGCTCAGGTATGAGAATGCGGAGGAGGTCCGAGGACTTGCAGCACATGCCATCGATCTTCTTCAGAAAGCCCATGATTCTGTAGCTGTCTCCAACAAAGTGCTTCAGCAAACGACTAGCGCCATAAAGGTGATGAAGGAGAAGCTTAGCATGACCATGGGGCAATGGATCGAGTCGGTGAAGGAGAAAACGATCACCCAGTCAGACTTTGAGGCAAAAAAGAGCGCTGGGGAGAAGTGGCTTCAGGACAGCGCCGATACGGCTTGGTGCGAAAACAAATTAAGTCTGGACGAATGCACAGAGGCCAAAGAGGCAGCCGTGGACGCTAACATGTCAGTGTGGCATCTGGCCAAACCAGTGATCAAGCCTCCTGAGACCGTGGATGTTGACATGACTGCCAAAGAAGTTGCCGACTCTTTGGATGAGGAGTTGGCCAAAAGCTTGGCTGCGCTTGGACTGCCTCATGATGGTAATCCTTATGCGGTTGAAGCTGCGAAGGTCGGCGCACAGAATTGAATGAACAAGTTTCATAACGGCCCAGGGGTGAACGTGAGGTAAAACTGATCTCCGGCCTGCAGGCTGCTCCCAAGGAAATCCAGGAAAAGGATCCTACAACATCACCAGCAGCTGAGGCTTCGGGTTTGTGCTTTATATACAAAGATTGTGATTCTTTTGTCGTCCAGCTTGATCAACCTGGCTTTCAGGCAGCAGATGGGATCAAGGAGACTTTGGATTCCCCGCAGCCACCGCCAAATGCTGTCATGCCGGAGCCGGCGCCTCCGGGGAGAGGGAAGGCTGCTGTATCAGCAGCTGTGGCAATGAACCGTCAGAACACTTTTGATATGGAGGACTGAGCCTCTTGAGTTTTGGAGATGGATACTAAATTCAATTCCATGGGTGCAGGAAACCGTTCTTGCTCTAAAAGAAGGAGAGACAGAGCATCAAAGAGAGGCGAGGCTTGCGCACAATATCTACATGAGATTCTATCGCAGCATGCGGAGTACCTTGGCCAACATTTCAGACATTACAAGGCTGATAAATTAAACTGATATTTGTGATCTACATTGCATAGATCTGAGGCAGCACCTGTCCCCCGGAGGTGGTGGCAGCTGCAAAGGGGTCCAAAAGGAGAATCTTGTCTGCAGGTCATATACACGCTGTGATGTTTGTTTCTTGTGTGTGTTCATGGAATGGATCATGATCAGTTTGCATGATCTAAGACAAGCCGATCCTCAGCCGTCTCTTCGATGAGTATCTTGCATGCGAGGGCAACTGGTTGGTGAGCTCACTTGTCTTGGAGAGCAGAAATGTGAGGTCCCATCAAGTTCAGGGCCAGGAGGCGTTTGTCACATACACTGACTACGTGGCCAAACACGGTGAGGTTGCTGCTATGGCAATGCGGACCAAGAAGAAGGAGTTGGAGCGAAAGCGTGACCCAAAGAAAGTCCCAATTCCTTACTGGAAGAAAAATCCAGATGCGGACTTAGAGGAGATGGGGCTCTTCCGGGTCTTCCAGGCACACACGATCACTCGCAGGGATCTACAGGAGCAATCTGAGACGATGTCTGCTAAAATTGATCTGGACGGAGATCAAACTCGAGATCTGTTGCCACAAGCTCAGTGTACGACAGTTATGCTTTATTTTTTAAAAATCGTCAGATTTGATTTTGACTGCCAATTAGGTATGAACACTTGTCGACATCCGCTGTGGGGCAAACCGAGTGCGATGAGTTCTCTGTGCATATGGCCCATGCCGACATGGATAGCACAGCTGGGAATCTGCCGCGGGAGGTCCCTATCCCAAAGGCAAAAGTCGCCAAGCCAAAAAAAGCCACAAACACCAGACATCGTGGCAAAGGGCAAGGTCAGGGAATGCCAAACCAAGATCACAGAGATCAAGGGGCTACAGCACAAAGTCTCGACATCGCCGTTGCTGTGCCTTGGTACACTGTGATTAGGGCCTTATCATGAGATGTTGTTGCTTTGCATAGGTGATTTGCATGCACATGTTTTGAGGACCGATCCAATCCGCCATGGCTATGAGCAGGAGCTGGACAGGGCACTCGATCAGCTGACACGAGCAAAGGACGATCTGGAGGCAGAGGTCCTGAAGGAGGTGAAGGACCAGGCAGCATTGCAGCCCTTCATGGATAAAGCATCGGCAGCGCTACAGCTCTACCTCAATTCCGCTAAGGGCATCAAATCGTCTGTTGTACCTAGGCTGCTGTGATCACGCTGGTGAATGATTCTCTTTTTTTTGTGCACCAAGGCTGAGCGGAAGCCTAATAAGGTCAAGGCCCAGCAAGAGAAATGATCGCTCTGCCCTGCCCTGAATTTTGTTTAGATCAGATCGTGGCACTGCAATCCATGTCGGATTGATGAGCCATCAAATTTTGTTCGTGGGATTGATCATCCATCAGGAAGCTCGTTTGCGCACCGTCGGCACAAAATTGGAACAGTGCAGCAGCTGTATATCGTGTATGCATTCAACATCTTATAATTATTGTGCATTGCATGGAGTCGTATTGATCGTGATCTCTTGACGCAGGTGGAAAGGAGTTGGCAAACACGTTGATGAAACGTGCTGGCCGTGGTGATCCTCGGCAGCAGGTACCGGTACTGGAAAGCGTGATTCTACGATTCTAGATGTGTTTGTTGTGTGGAGCTTAGGAGATCAGCTTTGGATCAATGCAGGTAG